AAAAAGAACTTTGACAAATGAGAACTGACTGTAACAATTAGAAGATCACTGGCAATTCCTATAGCAGTAGCTAAAAACAGATGACTGACTGCATATCTGAGGTCTTACAGTTGGGGATTGTCAGGACTGTCTAATAAAACAGTTCTTCCATCTTAGCTGTTAGCCAGTTCTATGCTAGAAAGCACACTTTTCTGTATATACCCAAAGATCACAAGATCTGAGCTCCCTGTAACAGCATAGGTGAAAGTGGAAACCCTATTACCAGCTTGACAGACAGCACAACTTTCACCTTAATGATCCAGTAGCAGTTAAAGCTAGTTCATGCCTCCAAATTACCAAATTATATATAAAGTCAGATGCAGACAACCCAGCAGGATATTTTTTTCCATTAATACTCTTCTAACAACTAACTGCAGTGGCTTTTTTCTCTTTTGTGCTTGCTTTGTTTTCAAGAAATGTCAGCTTCAATGCCAAGCCTCCAAAGAGGTTGGAGGCAATAATATATATATCTTTGCATGCACAAGATGTGACACTTATATTACCTGAAATTGCAATGTGCCTTCCTAATGTTGTGTATCGTGTCTGCTGAACTACCTTCAATTTCACCTAATAGACTCTCTGCTCTGATCTCTCCTTTGCAGCAAACTATTGACATCCCTCTTTTCATTGTCCCCTGAATTTCCTAAATCTCAGTTGTGTTTGACCAAGTTTGTTATTCAGACTGATTATCTGTGAAAGAGCTTCTGAAACAATCAGCTACTTTTATTTAGACGGTGATCTAGCTGCCATGATGCTTCTCTTGTCTTTCAGAGGAGTGCATTAGCTGTTTATTAGATAGATTGGTGTTTTAGAAGAGATTGGATTTAAAAAAACCCACCATTGTTTCAAGTTAATATATGAGTCTAAATTTGGGTTTGATGGAGTGAATTGGGAATCTGTGATATTACAACTGGGATTTATGGCATTTCAACAGCTCTTTAAAAACAAGGGGAGGACGATTCTTACAAGTGGTGAAGTCACAATAAATTCACAAGGTGATTGATGAAAGATTAAAAAAAGCTGACTCTTCCAGGAGCCAGAGGCGCACCCAGCATAATCAGACCCCTGCAATGACCATCTCAGGCATCATTTCCCAACATCTCCAACCGAGGTCCAGTTCTGACTTCCACTGGGACAAACCTTTCTCCCCAAAGAAGTTCCATCAAGGAATGTGCTTCAGAAGTGGGAAGTTGATGGTACTTTCTCTCAACCAAGAAACCTGTAAGAGACCTGCTTTAGCAAAACAGTGGGACTTTTTGCTGGGAAAAAAGAATAGCAGAGGTTTCTGATATATGTTCTGGTTTAGGGCATCTCGGCAGTTATATAACCTCTCCATAGCTTCCCCAAACAGAAACCCAGATGTACCAGTGATAGCACTGCAGTGCTTGCCTCATGTTTCTTCACAAGCAGGGCACAAGGATCATCTGGCAAAGGAAGATCACATCTCAACTAGCTTCAGTGACCTGATTCATTGAGTTACTTGTTGTGGCCTAGGTTCTTCAAGGGTCAGATAACAGGCTCATCTATGATGGAGACTAAAATAAGAGCCATTAGGCATACCTACACATGCATTAATGTGCCGTAGGTACTGCATATTAAGTTTAGTACCTGTAATAACACATACTAACTAAATGCACAGTAATCTGCACTATTGCATGGTAGCACCAACGCTCGTCTTTTTAGTGACACTAATGTGCAGTAGATTAATTCTACCACACATTAGCACAATAGCACAACTTTTGCCATGCAGTAGAATTAGTTTCCTACGCATTTTGAGTCTTGTGTAGATGCACCAAATGTTCTGGTGCTGTGTGAAAAATTTTTAAAACTAATTAGTGGGGATGAGAAGGAAGTGCAAAATTTCCATAGGTGTTTAGAAGTAAGGGTGATTTTATAGCAAGAGGCCAATACCTGAAATGCCAAAGTGAGGTCACTGCCCTGAAATGTAAGGCTTCATGTGGCTAAAAATAAATTAATTCATGCTAATATACTGCTCCGTTATTTATTGACAAAAATAATAAGCACAAAAATTCCACCAAGAACATACTTGACTTACATAGTTGATTTCTCTCTGAACAGAAGCAACCATACAGGGTCCTGAATCCTTAATACTGGCTAAAGGGAAGGCAGCAGTGTGAACTGCTATGCTTTCTACTACAGAGCGATAGCTCAGGCTACATCGTCTTAGGCTTTTTGTCCTGGTTCCATCCCCTCTATGTTGGTCCAGATGCTGTCATAACACTTAACCCTTTTTTAAAACACTTTTTCTTTTTCAAATTTAGGTCACTTTTAAATAAAACTAAGTCATTTCCAAACAAACAGTGAGTATGATAAAATGAAATGTTTTGACACTTCTGAAACTCTCCCCCCACCCTCTTTTTTCCAGCTGAAACTTCCATTTTTAACTAATCTAACAAATCTAAAATTACCATATTCCTTAAATAAAAGAAGTAGTTTTTAATACCAAATTATATTTCTAAAAACAGCCTGCTTAGAGGAAAAAGAAAAAAGTAAAAAGCTTTTACATGTACCACACAGGGTGTATCCTTATGTCTATATCCTAATGTATCTTTGTGTCTTTATTTAATGTTTTACATTTTTTGTTAAATTGAGCATTAAAAAATTTGGGTGTGTCTTAAACTGAAGGGCATCTCATATTCAAAGGAATATGGAATTTATCAAAAAATGTCACCTGGCCTTAATAGCAAGCCCAGCAACAGCAGGAGAGTGGGTTCTGAATGCAGGGAATACAGAAAGGGAAGAACAAATGGTTTAACCAGGAAACCCCATATCAGTTCTTAGTGGTGTGTGGGGTGAAGACCCTACATCCCTCAAAAATTTCCATTACTTTTGTAAACCCACCTTCACTTGCATATGGCAAATGGTAATACCAGATACCTCCCCTGCTACAAAATACAGCAGAATATAGAACCAGTTAATTTTACTCAAAGATGTTTTTCCCCCACTCCAACACGCATTAGAGTCTGTTACATGCCTCAGTAGTAAAACCAATTATAGGCATAATTTCTATTGGTTAAAGCCAAAATGAAAAAGAATGAGAATTTAAGTTAGCCTTCATTGAAAGTAATAGATTATTGAACCATCTTTGGTTTAAATGATGAACACTTTAAGTGACTTCAGCAATCAATTCTCCACCTATGTTTGAAAAACTCTACCAATCAAAAAAGCAAAGAGCTTCATACTCATCCAGTTATGTATCATATGTCATTAGTTGAAGGGGTCTCTTAGTCATACACTTATGACTAATATATTGAGTGGCAGCCTACGCAACATTCAAGCCCCAATCTCATTTAATTGTTTTTTCATCTTCTGTGAGCCATACTATGGACGGGCTGCAAGTGACTTATTCAGCTTGGAGCAGAGCAAGGAAACTTAGAAAGTACTTTCTCATTGCTTTAATGTACTTAGCTGGACCTGTTCAAGCATTTAAACTGTTTATTCCACCTTACTTCTGAATTTTTTTTTCCAAAACAAGGAAGTAACCTTGCTTTGGATAGCTGAAACTTACCCTGCTCTCAGCTATGCTTCCATACATCTAAAATGAAAACTACAGTGTGTAGGGCATAGAGAGGAGGCATGATTCATCTGAAATTAATGATAAATACTTTTTTTAAAAGCCCTAATAAAAGTAGAAAAAGTAGCATTCAGCCTTTGTAAGCAATAAAAGAAATACTTAGCTTTCTTCTAACATTGCTATTGTTGCAGTGGCAGTTCAGTTTTCTAAAGATTCAAAATCCCAATGGCATTGCACAACAAGCAAATATTTCTAAAATAATCTGTGACCCAGAACCTACAGTCTAAGAAAGCTAACAAACAGAGCAAGAGAACAAAGAAGCAACAGCAAAGAAAGGTGTTTTTACATATAAAGTAGCAGTCTGGGGCATATCCTTTAACAGTTGGTCACCAGTCTAGCCAGTGCCAAGAAGATACTGGACCAGATTCTGATTTCGTTTACACTTGTCCACCTAGGTTGAAGTCAGTGCAGGTATTCCAGGTTTGCACCAATATAAAATAAGGCAAAATCTCGCTCTCTCGCTCTCACTCTCTCTCGCTCTCTCTCTCTCTCTTTTGGGATTCTGCCATATTTTAACCTAAGTGAAGTGCCCACTGATAACCTTAAATATCCATATTAATGCCAATCTGCATGTGGGTAATGGCAGAAGTCAAGAGTAAAATGCACATGGAAGAGGGATCAAGAATCCCATTGGCATTCAGACTGTTTACCAGCATCTCCACTTCCAGATTGTATAGTCAGTGCTATAGATCTGAGCAGATAACTGCCACATCATACCAGGTCAACATCTGCAAAAATGCTGTGAAAGGCCAATCCGCCTCATTAGCCTTAGCAGAGGATAGAAATAATGTACCATAACACATAGAGCAGAACCTAGGGTCTTTTTCTTCCACTGTCCTTCTGCAAATCAAAATTCTTTGGTAGCGTAGGTAGTTTTTATTAAGAATTCTTTAAACTTTCCCTTTTCTAAATGACCCCAAGAATTACATTCAAGAGTCTTAACTTGAAAATTAAAACCATGGGCACTCTGTATTTCAACAAAAAGTGCTCATATTCTGTCTTTTATTAGACCTTTCCAACTGTAGAAGTTATGACCCAAAACCTTATCCTGCTCTCAGCCATGTTTCTGTACAAATAAAATTATTCTCCTGAAATCTCTCTGTCTCCCTGTTTCATGTCCTCATCACACAGAGTGAATGTTTGAAAAGAACTAAGATTTCCCCATACAAATCTAGCCAATATGTCTTAGACTTCACCTGGCTTCTTGTAAGGATGATAAGATAGCAGCTCACTCTCTACACAGTCAGCCATTGACTTCACTGCCATGATTGGCAAGAGGGTGTGTTAATTCAGATGAGGATCCTTTTGATGATGTAACACCTGTCAAGGAAGGAATGAACCCAGTCACCCTCACCATCCAATTCACTGTATCATAGAAATCATGGAAAATAAGGGTTGGATGTGACCTCAGGAGTTCATCTAGTCCAATCCTTGCTCAAAGGAGGACCAGCCCCAACTATATCATCTCACCCAAGAGTTTGTCTAGTCAGGTCTTAAAAAACCCCAAGGATGGAGATTCCACCACCTCTCTGGGTAACCTGTTCCAGTGCTGTGCTACCTCCTAATGAGAAAGATCTTCCTAACATCTACCCTAAGCTTCCCTTGCTGAAACATGAGACCATTGCTCCTTGTTCTGTTATCTACCACCACTGAGAACAGCCTAGCTCCATCCTGTTTGGAACCACCCTTCAGGTAGTTGAAGGTTGTTATTAAATCCCCACTCAGTCTTCTCTTCTCCAGACTAAGTAAGCCCAGTTGCTTGTAAGAATATTGTAGGAAACTGTATCCAAAGTCATGCTAAAGTCAAGCTATATCATATCCACTGCTCTCCCTGCATCCACAGAGCCAGTCATCTCATCACAGAAGGCAATCAGGTTGGTCAGTCATGATTTGCCCTTGGTGAATCCATGCTAACTGTTCCTAATCACCCTCTCCTCCTCCAGGTGCTTAGAAATGGATTTCTTGAGGAACTGCTTCATGATTTTTTGAGGGACTGAAGCGAGACTGACTGGTCTGTAGTTCTTTGGATCCTCCTCCTTCCCTTTCTTGAAGATGGGCACTGTATTTGCTCTTTTCCAATCATCCTGGACCTCTCCTGATTGCCATGAGTTTTCAAAGATGATGGCTAGTGGCTCTGCAGTCACATCAGCCAACTCCCTCAGCACCCTCAGCTGCATCCCACCTGGCCTCATGGACTTGTATATGTCCAGTTTTTCTAAATAGTCCCTAACCTGTTCTTTTGCCACTGTTGGCTGCTCACCTCCATCCCCTGGTGAACCTAATTTAAAGTCCTCCTCACTATGTGAGTGAGCCTGTTTAGAAAGACACTGTTCCCTCTCTTTGTCAGGTATAGCTGGAGTGCACAGCAACATTGCGGGCATGTCTACACATTAATGAATGCACAGTGGTTACTGAGCATTAAATTTAGTACTTGTATAATCAAGTAACCAGTAACCAAAGTTACTGTGCAGTAGCACTGGCACATACCTTTTTAGTGACTCTACTGTGCAGTCACCTAATAAAACTGCACGGTAGCATATTAGCACTATTTGTGCTGTGATGCGCTACTGTGCAGTATTATTAGGCTCCTTCACACTTAGCATCTTGTGTAGATGTGGACTGCATCTCTTTCATTCATTATCAGCTCATGTTACCAACAACCAAGTAGTGAAGGATGCTGTATGGGCTATGCCTTGATATTATAATCTGAAATGGGGCACAGGTGCCTGTTCTTGTTTAGCACACTTCAGGCCACTCTTCTTCAATACATTTATTAAATACAGTGTTGTTGCCTCCTAAGTTTTCAGATCATTATCTTTTCTTACAGTAAATGTGTGCATCTGGGAATTGACTCCAAAGATTTCCTGAAAGTGAAGCTTATACCTAATTCTCTGCACCCAAACTGCTTCTCCATGTTGGGACAGCTCAGAAAGAGCATTGTAACAGGGTGGCCTATCCCTTTATAGGCCAGGGGCCAGTGAGCTCTGTACAATTGTTCAAGCTAGCTGGAAAGTAAATAGGTGTTTTCTATAAAAGGAGAGTAAGCAGGAGAAGAGGACAGATTCTTATGGTATCTGAATTAGGGGGATAGAAGGGATGGGGGTCTTTGGGTGGGCAGCACCTGCTTGGCTTGATGATTTGCCCAAGTTTTGTGTTGGAGAATAAACCTATGCCAGCCAAAAGACGTGACTAAGGCAGTGCTATTCTTGGGCTGGTGAGCAGCTACTTCAAAATCAGTATAGCCAGAGCTATAGCCTTCTTCCTTCTGTTCATCCCATTTTCCTGTTTATCGTGCACTCCGGCAACATGTGCTGTACTGGAGTTATCCCATATTGTTGCTGTTCAATATTGTTTATCTTTTTCAGCTACTGATCAAAGGAAAATCCCTTCTTCCCAGATACCACTGCCTTCCATGTGAATATGTTTTCCCAGGCCACTCAAACATTTCAGTGGAAGCAGACATATTTTGTTCTGTCCTGGATTATACTCCAAGGATATATTTTATAATTTGATTTTCTTGGTGCTGGCCACTTCAATTCAGTTTTAGAATCCCAGCTTCTTTGAGGATGAGAAAAGAAGGCATGGTGAAAATATACTTATGAATAAAATGACTGACACAACCATGCGTTGCTGTTTGACAGCATTCATTCTGACATATGCCCAGCATGATGGTGCAATGATAGATTCTTAGTTACAAGGTTTTGTGGCATTTCTCTTGAATGGTAACAGAAGTGGAAAGATCAAGTGATAGCACCTGCAGAGAAACATGATCACAGTATACCACTAGCGTGAATAGCCAACTTTCTGTCTTATGAATATTCATATGAATCCTGTTTTGGTCTTTATCATTATGAGAAGTGTCCACATTTATTGAGGCTCCCTCCACCCCACAAGCTCTAGGCTTAGAGGCTATGGAACAAAGAAGATGATATATGCTGTATAAAGGCAAGGCAGGATCCTTAAAACTAAGTCTAGCGTTTAGTGGTGACTAGAGACTAAGACACACTGTGCTCAGTATTGCAACACTTAACACAGTGGTTGGCAACTGTGTTCAGCCATCATTATATTCTGTAGCATGGACATGGTCTTTAGACTGGCAGGTGCCATCATAAGACATTGAGACAGACGGTCTATCTCCAGATAGCTCCAGGGAATACCTGCCTTCTCTCTAAGAGCCATGGAAGCAAGGTCCTACCTGTGGAGCCCAAGGGCCTCCCCAGCTTGGATCAAAAAGCCAGATCAAAAACCCTAACCTTTTCCCACCAATTATGAAATGATCTTTCATCCAGACTGCAGGAGGGAAACCAGTGTGGTCTTCTGAGGAAACCCTGTATAATGTCAAACTGAGCTCTTAAGTCTAAAAATGACTTGGGCAGTAGGAACCAGCAGCACACTTACACAATGGGGAACTCCCTACTTGAGAGCACGGAGGCAGAAAGAGATCTTGAAGTCATTATTGACTCCAAGATGAACATGGGCCGACAATGCGAGGTCATGGTTGGCAGGGCTAACCGGACCTTGTCGTGCATCCACAGGTGCATCTCGAGTAGAGCCAAGGAGGTGATCCTCCCCCTCTACGCGACGCTGGTCAGGCCACAGCTGGAGTATTGTGTCCAGTTCTGTGCGCCCCATTTCAAGAGGGATGTGGACAACATGGAGAGGGTCCAGAGGAGGGCCACCCGCATGATCCAGGGACAACAGGGCAGACCCTACAGTGAGAGACTGCGGGACCTGAACCTATTCAGCCTCCACAAGAGAAGGCTGAGGGGGGACCTGGTGACCGTCTATAAACTCACTAGGGGGGACCAGAAGGGTTTGGGGGAGACGCTGTTTCCCCTAGCGCCCGCTGGCATAACAAGGAGTAATGGGCACAAGTTGATGGAGAGGAGGTATAGATTGGACATCCGCAAAAACTACTTCACAGTTAGGGCGGCTAGGAGCTGGAACCAACTTCCAAGGGAAGTGGTGCTGGCCCCTACCCTGGGGGTCTTTAAGAAGAGGCTGGATGCCTACCTGGCTGGACTCATTTGAGTCCCGTTTCTTGTTTTGGGGTTTTGTTGTTCTGCCACCCTGGCGGGGGGTCGGGCTAGAAGATCTACTAGGTCCCTTCCAACCCTAAATCTATGAAACTATGAATGGAACAGTGCTTGTCCCATTACACTGCATGTAAACTTTTACTTCTGATAGCATTTGGTTCATCCTGTTTCATTAGCTAAAACAAATCAATCTCTAAAGGAAAAACGGTGGCTGTGTTCATGGAGCCTGCCTTCAGTAGCATAGCAGCTTCATGTGCTATGAAGACATTCTCATGTCATAGATCTGTATTCACATCTACTCTAGGGTACTTTTACATCATTTAGGGCCTGTGAGGTTGCCTTAGAGGGGGTTAAGTTGTATTAGTACCTGTTTTGAGACACCTTATTTACCTACATTGGAACATAGCACTGAAGCAGGGTGTCTGTACTGCTCTGCTGTAAAGCCAACATCACTGTACTGAGACTTGCCCTGCCAGATCTGCATTTTAATACTAGTTGTGGGGTTGGGCTTCACCAGAGTTATTGAATGGCTATTCCAGAATCTCACTTCTCTGCTCATTAGTAACTTCTATCTCATTTCTAGTCTAAACTGATTAAGAGACAAAGCTGAAAAAATACAAAATACAATTTCTAAGCTTTGGACAGAAAATTCATCACCATGGATGTATCCTGTGGGAATTTCCATTTTGCCAAAAATAGCTATTTTCTTTCTAAAAATACGTTAATAATCAGTTTTCTTCAGCACAGCTCCTAGTTATGATTGAAACATTCTGGGATGTTAATTTACTTCCAGGGCCTAATGAGTTGCAGTGCAGCTCAATTCAAGTGCTGATTATCCGTGCTAGGATTGATTACCTCAACATGACAAACCTGATGGAGTGTTATTGATTAGCTACTGGAGACAAAGTAAAATTAGAACATAATGTGACTGGAACAGACTACTTCTCTGTAGTACGTCCTATTGGAAACAACATGGTGAATCTTTCTCACTGAAGCCCTCCTTGGGCTCCTGTGTAGCACCGTTCTGCGCATAACAACAAGCCTTGGATTTTGAAATGTATCATAGAAACAAAGGGCCTGATTTTCATAGGTGCCTCTCAGCACTTGTAACTCCTATTGTATTTAGTAGAAATCACAGATAGACAATCCCTATTAAGTCATCTAGAGTTAGAGTTGGCAACCTGCAGCCCACAGGTTGGATCTGGCCGACGGGAGCTTGGGATCCAGCTTACAGATGTGGGGCTCCAGTAGCATTTGGCTTGAGGGGCAGCCAGAAAATGTTACCTATCCCTGATCTAGAGCATCCATTCATGGCCAGTGTAAGATTCTTTCCCACAAACTTCATTCCCTAGAGATCTGTTCAGCATGTGTACATCTAAGAGTATCAGAATTAGGCACTGACTTTAAAGCTCTAAGTGTTTCAATCTAAGAAGTGGAAGGGGC